GTAACTTTTGTGAGAGAGGCTATACCCCAAGAAGGCACATTTGTCTGTGTGGTAGGAGAGTTTGTGTTTATTATAAGGACGAAGATAAGGGTAGCAACTACACCCAAAAACTTTCAGATCAGTGTAATTAGGTTCTTGATGAAACAAGGTGAAGTAAGGGGATACAAAATTAAGAGCTGAATTAGGCAGTCTGTTCAACAGGTACGTGGCTGTATTGAAGGCTGCCCACCAATATTTCAATGGCATGCTAGCATGAGCCAATAACGATAACCCAAATTCGGTAATTGATCTGTGCTTCCTTTCAGCCCTGCCATTCTGTTGATGTAAATATGGACAAGAATGCCTGAACATAATACCATGTTTCTGTAAATAACCAGCAAAACTTCTATACTCTCCTCCCCAATCAATTTACAAACACTTTATTTTAGAATCCAATTGTCTTTCTATGAAACAATGAAACTATACGAAAGCAGTATAAGCCTCATATTTAAGTTTCAAGGATAAATCCAAGTAAATCTGCTAAAATCATCAACAAATATGAGATAGTATTTATATCCCTCACAAGAGTTTACAGGAGCTGGACCTCATAGATCCGGATGTATTATTTCTAAATGAGCTTCAGCTCTAGAATCTGACATAGGAAAATGACATTATTGCAGCTTCCCGTACTGACATGCTTCACAAAAGAAGCTGTTATTACTAGACAGAGACGACTTTACATTTAGTTTGTTCAAGACAACATGAAGTGTTCTACTATTAGGGTGGCCTAATCTTGCATGCCACAACGTGAGCAAGTCTAGATTTGCATTATGACTAAGACATTTATTTGAAGCTGATACGGTAGTAGGAAAAGTAGTAACTACTTTTGAGTTGGGAGGACAATGATTTCCAAAGAACTCCTTTGAGACAGATGGTAACTTTGTAACAGCAGGAGCAGCAGGACAAGAGATAGACTTCATGCTTGGATTAACAGGCTTTGTCAACTCAAGCTGATATAAGCCATCCTTTACTGTGCACCGAAGCAATATATCTTTACTGCTTTTGTCCTTTATCAAGCAATTATCAGAGTGAAATTCAACAATCACATTGTTATCCTTAGTGATTTGTGATATACTCAGCAAGGTTTTTGCAATTTGTGGAACATAGAGAATATTTCTAAGATGAATTGATATATTGTTATCAAATGAAGATACCATCAGCATACCTGTATGAGTAATGGGAATGGATTCTCCATTACCAACTTGCACCTTAGAGCTTCCTAGATAGGGAGATTTAAGTACCAGATTTGAGCCATCAGCCACCATATGATTTGATGCACCAGGGTCCATAAACCAGGACTGATCATGAGCAGTATGTGGAGTGGCTACTGCCTGATACATAGAGTCGGCTTGTAGTGATGGATCACCGACAGGATTGGGAGAATTTGTTAACGTAGCACCAACAGAGTAAACTGGATAATTCCCTGGATACGAAAATTCAGAAACAACATATTTATTTGAGCTGGAAGGTACTGAAGCTAAATGATCATGAAAACCAAGAAAGGAAGTGATCGAAAACTGAACAGGATTTGGTTTGAAGTTGGTTGCAATTAGAGCTTGAGCTGATTCAGTTGATCCTTCATTAGTAAAACTGTTAACTAGAGCAGATTGTGGCTGTTGTAGTTGTTGATTGTATGAGGGTTGGTGACTATAAAAGGAACCATTAAAGCCCTGATATTCTTGATCGAAACGGTGGTAACATTGCAATGCAGAGTGATCTGTCTTTCCACAAACTTGACACACTAACTTTGGTTTGAAGCATACTCAGCCTCTACGTCTGCCTCTCACCAAGTTACTGCTAAACTGTAACGCTCCACCAGGAAAACTTTGAGTATGAACAAATGGTCTGAAATTCGACCCTTGATACCCTTGAAACTCATTGCTTCCAAACACACCTCGCCCTTGATAACCATTGCTTATAGGAGAACCTCTATTATCTGCAAAATGAGTTAAGCTTGGAATAGAGACACCAGTAGGTAAATAATGTTGTGCACCAGTTTCTAGATTGAGAGAATGTGGTACAGTAGGTGTTGCTTTAGTAGCAGTATTCAGAAATTGTGTCGTAGTTGGATTAAGAGCATCATGTTGTCTGGTAGCCAACAAGGCAGATTTTAAATGTTCATGAAAATTCATCATAGAAAAACTTTGACGTTCCAATCTCATCTCATGCATATGAAGCATAAACAGATCTTCTTGAATACTTGTTGTACTACTATTATATATCAAACTAGCAATAACCGCATCATATTCAGGACCAAGACCGTCTAAAATATACAAGAGTAACTCTTCTTCTCTAAGATTTACTCCACTGGCAACTGATTCATCTCCAATCTCCTTCATTTTGAGGACATATTCATTCACACTTAAATCATTCTTTTTAGTTTTTTATAACATATTCCGTAGACGTAATGTTCTAGCCTTTTAAAAAGACTGGAAATGTAGCTCTAAAGTATTCCAAATTTCATATGAACTCACACATTTTGCTACATGTCTGAACATAGATTCGGATATTAAAGAAAACAACCAAAAACTAAAGATTGATCTAGTCTTTTCTAATTAAAATACTTAGGGTTTGGTTTCTTTACTACTTCCTCTGAATCAACAGATTTTTCAACAAGAAACATAGGTGGACAGATACTCTCACCAGTGATGAAGCCATCAAGACCGTGAGATACAAGAGCAGGAAAGATCTGTGACCTCCAGTAACCATAATTCTTTTCCACAAGCTTAACTAAAAGTGTGGGAAGTGAAGGATGGGCAACCAGACTATTTGCGTTTGCATTTCCAGTTTGCTCACCTTCTGATTTCGAAGCAAGATTGGGCAACTCAGGATTGATTTGAGCCATTTGACGTGTGTCTACAACTCTGATACCATGAAGATTATTGATGAAAAACCAGAAAAGGAACAAAGAGAGAAACCAAAGAAAACAGTGATACCAAAAAGCTGAAAAAGGTGAAATCTGTATTTTTTGTATGAAGAGTTAGTTACATGTCAGTACATCTGTTATTATATAACAGAGCATAACACACCATATTAAGAAACATTTTCATACTTACAAACACACCCCCACTCTATTATACTTAATAGTCACAAAGAACATGTTTGCCCAGTCAAGCTTCTGCTCCTCAGACACAACAAACGCCTGCCCAAATCCTGATATCTCCTGCTTTTCGCCAATACTTCTTCTTCTCCTCCATTGGCAGATTGAAAAACTCCAGAGTCTTTATCTTCACTTTCTGCACCAGTGAACTGCTCACTCGATGGTTTATCAACTGCAAAACATTTCCACTCTCACAACAAAATTTTACACGACGCATCATATATAGTATATATTGATTTGATCCTTCTACTGATACCTAAAAAAACCCCATTCTTTGCAAGCACGATGAAGCTTGTCTAATTCTGAATCCGTCAAGTCTCCAGAAAGCAACTTTTTCAAGTCGATAACTAGCACTTGTGGCAACGAGGTGGCATTGGATACGAAAAGAGGATCTTGATGAGGATGGACATAACGTGGTGGAACAGTCGTGAGCGGCTCCTGAACGGAAGGTACAGGGAGAGAGCTCCATATGTTTGTCTTCGTTGATGATTGATCCTCTATTAAAAGATTTCAGGTCTTTCTCTATATAGTTTCTTTTCGTGGCTGCGCATTTGGCATAGGTATAAAATATAAAGCAGAAACTTATTGCTTATTACCTTATTTGATAATGAGTAACCATCCGACTCCCATATTAATTTATTATCTCAGATGTGGTTGACTCATGACTGTTTGGTATAGTTTGGACGTTGAATACTGAACTTAATTTCAGCCATCTTGGGTTTGTAATCCATATATTGGATCTAGATTAGAGGTGACGGTTGGCCATGCTCTACCAGGTCAAAATTTTCATAGCCCATCTCGCCATGGGCCATGCCATACCAGACAACCAAAACTCAAGGCCCTCGACACGGCCCATGGCCTGGTGGGCTGTGTCATGCCTTTGTGGGCCAACCCACATGCTGCATAGGCTTTTGTCAAAAAAATTTAAAATTTATGTTTCTTTTAAATTCATGAGCCATGCCATGGCGACCCACGTGCCAAATCCTAAGCCCATGGCATGGCCCACATAGCCCATAGGCCATTTCTTACCATGCCAAAAAAATTGTGGGTCGTGCCAGCATAGCCCATTGTCACCTCTAATCTAGATCCAAATCTTGTCATCAGCCTATATTTTTTTACCTCAGGTAAGATTCATATCTAGAGTTCTTTTTCTAGTTGAAGGTGGTACATGTAATTAAATAAGGAAGGTGGTAGATAAGAGTTAGTATGTAGAAAACTCCCATAGACACTATAAAAAAGAGAATACTTTGTCATTTTATACAAACCCAGTTAAAGAATCAATAGTAATCTTTTCTTAAACACATTCCTTTCATTTTCTCCAAAATAGTTTAGTTAATTAGAAGCTCCTCTTCTCAACAATGGAATAGATGAACCCAGGAAGGAAAGGTGGGGTCACATGCCCTTCTGGCCTGTGTTCAGTCCGCTCTAGGGTAATTATTTCCTTAAAACATGAACTTTCAATTGCTACTACTCCCAAGTTGAACAAATTATTGACTCTATAGAAATATCATGGAGCATCCATTTTCTCCTTGCTTTACCGACTCCAAAATAAAACAAGATAACATAATTCCCAAAATCTGTCAATTCTCATGAGTTTTTGTTTGTTTACTCCTTCTATCAATTTAGCAATGTCAGAACGAATGGATGTAGCATAAACAGATGTCCTGTCAATTATTTATAAATCTCAAATTGGTCTCTTGATAACAAACTAGCTTGAATTACTCGATTACAATGACATGATGTAGCACCAAATAGATGTCCTGTCAATTATTAAGAAACTTTTTAGACAAAACAAACATTTGAATTTCTACTATACTCAACCACTCTCATTCTCGTTTTGAACCTTCAAGACATACAGGTACTATTTTCCTTGTAGTTGGCAGGAAAAGAATCCCTTGAAGTAGTCTACAACACTTATTATCTTAAACAACGCCGGAGTCTCTGGTGTAATAAGGCTTGGCGCCGAGCCCAGTTTGCCGTCCATTTTTGGGCTGTAAAATGTGGCAATTGAGAGCCTTTCTTTCATCGAGTTTACAGTTGCTCGATGCTCAATACTAGGGTAAATTCTATTTGTTACAATCTACAAAACCACAAACACAAATTAAACAATATCTAGTTATGCTCTTCATTTTATTTCACTTTAAGATCTCTATATAATCCCAATTCCCAAGTGATCTAACTAACTGATAATTATTATCAACTGAGGGGATGATCATTACCTTTAAAATGTTTCCAATATTGATTATAAAAGCATTTGGTAGGGGTTTAACAGGAATCCACATCCCATTTTTCTTGATTTGAACGCCTTCCACCTCATTGAGCTTGAGAAGGATGGTAAGGGCGCCACCGTCAGAATGAGGATTGATGCCCATAGCAAGCTCTGGTTGTGGACATGGAGGATAGTAGTTCATTCTTATGGCCTGCCTCCCTTCTCCAAACAATTCTTTGAAATAATCAGCTTCCATTCCTAAGGCTTTTGCCATTTGGTTCATAATTGTCATGGCAAGATCTCTTAGTTCTGCCGAGTAAGCTTCCAATATTTCTCTACATTTAATAAATAAATAAATAATGACAAATCTTTAAAATTAAAAGAATTGAAACCAATGTTTTAAAAACTGACCCGGGGTGAAACCCAGCAAAGTGACCAGGTCCTGGGTTGACCAGTTTAACATGTTTAACTAGTTGGTTCAACCAATGATGTCATCATGCTAACATCAGCATGATGACACCCAAAAAAAAATTCCCTCAAAAAACTCAAAGCCAAAAAAGGCTAGCTTTCTCTACACACTTCCACATGTCAGCATGATGACACCCAAAAAATTTCTTCCCAAAAAATCACAAAAAAAAAAAAGTAAAAAAAAAAAAATCCTAGGCTTTCTCTACACACTTCCACAACACCCCAAGAAACAAAGAGAGAGAGACAAAGAGATGACAAGACTCTCACAGTAATGCCATTTCCACCTCCCTCCACTTTGCATCTACCTCCTCCACTTCCCTCCTCTCTCTCTTCATCGCCCAAGTAAGTCTTTTTCTTCTCCTTTTTCATGCTTTCTTATCTGGGTATTTGCTCTTTTTATTGTTCTTGTTCTTGTGTTTTTGATTTTGATGTGTGTTGTTTGTTTGACTTGAACAATCATTTTCTATGGGAGAGAGAATCACTCCTGAAAGTAATTGCTATCGAAGATGAGATGAAATGAAGATAACGAAGATGAAACAAAGCTGCCGCTGAAGTGAAATGAAAAAAATTAAGAGATGAAACAAAAAAATCGATGAAGAAATTAAGAAATAGACTAATGGAAGAGGGCAAATATGGGTTAGGGCTTGAAAGAATGAAAAATTGGGGAAAAATGTAAAAAAAAAAAAAAAAAAAAAAATCACATTTAGGAGGGGGTTAGAGTTGACTCGGTTTTTTCCCAAAACCGGCTGGACCGGCAGGTTGCTATAGTATCTTCGGTCCAACCGTGGGTCATACCAGGTGAATTCAATTATCTGGGTTTTATGCTAATCCGACCCGGCTCAGTGGCTGGGTCCCGGTTGAACCGGCCGGGTCGGGCTGGGTTTTAAAACATTGATTGAAACTATGAAGTATTGTTGGGTTAAAAATCGTCTTGGGCTATGACCCAATTCCAGTTGGGTCCACGTCAAGGTTTATGTCACAGGCCAGACACATGATACTAACCTAACCTCTCTAGGTTGTATTATCCAGATTGGGCCTCATCATTAGCCCACCTAGGACCAGACCCATTGGTCCATGATATCCTCTAAGGGTCCAGAATCCCACTAAAACTCTAATACATCTACTTCCTATTTGGTTGTATCTTAATTTACTCAAGATCCTGTATTTCATATGAATTAGGACATTTCTTTCCTTAGCCCTCACTAAATAGCCTCTTTTAGTCTAGCAGCCTTGAGCGCCGGAGTGCCTATAGTAGACACCACATTGATGTTTTACGTAAGCTTTGTGATTGTTCTCTTTATGTGCAGATTCAGCGGATTGTTAGTGACCTCAACCTCACAAGATCAAACCCTCTTCCTTAACCATATATTTTACCATCTACAAGTATCTAATGCACTGAATCTGTGGCTTCAATTATTTACATTAAAAATTCATTTTACTTTGTCTCCTGGGTCATCATATTGGGATCTAATTTAACATCGGACATAAGATTGTTGAAGAAGTAAAGAAAATTAAACATTTTAATCCCTAAAGTTTGTTAATTATAAGGATTAAAATGTTACTAAGAAATCCCTAAAGTAAAAAAATCATTTTCCATTATTAAATAATGTTAAACATACAAATTTAGGATCGCAATTTTGTGTCCTCAATGATGTGCTGGGTTATGTGTCAACAGCCCACCATTTTATTTATTTATTTAATGACTGAGGGTGTCTAACCCAGCTTACCCACACCTCAAAAAATCCATCAAGACCTTAAAACTACCAGCTGGGTAAGAGCTCCAGTGGCCACTCCTATTAGCAATCATTTTTTTTTTTTTTTTGTTTTTTACTGACCAAAGGTGTCCATACCAGCATACGCGTATCTCAACTAATCCTCCAGGACCTTAGAACTACTGGCCAGGTAAGAGCTCTAGTGGTCACTCCTATTAGCAATTAAGTAAGGACTCGAACTCAAGACTTTTTGAGTAATACATTCTAGAGTCCCTATCGAACCACTCAACCACCTAGAGTTGGTTGTGTTAACACCACCTTAATGTTAGAATAATGAGATAAGTGAATAACTTTTCTGTAATCACACATGAATAGCCAAGTCATTTGGGATCCGAACTTTTCATGTGTAGCATTATTATTCTTTTTATTAATTTATTTATTTATTTATTAAACAAATAATATTTTGTTTGATTAAAATGATAAGTACTTGATTGAATGGCTGCTAGAACTTGGTTCCATTGTTGATGCTGGAGCGTGGCTTCAGCATGTGAGACTTGGGTGGAGCTCAAGCTTTCCTCAATTGTGTTCCCAGTGTGAAGAAGATCCTTGGAGCAACAAAACATTAGAGATTCAAAGTGTGGTGTTTAGTGCAACTAGAACAGGGAGTTCTTTTTGCTGCAACTTTAATCACTCTGAATGTTATCTTGTAATGTTTGTTGACTTAATGGATTACTTCAATCTGGACAAAGTCCCATGGATGAAGGCTAAGAGTGGTTTTTAGTCGGACCATATATATGACTGAGTGTTTTATTTACCATTTATGATTTGTGATTTGTTCTAGCTTAACTTGCTTAATCAACTTGGTAAGTCTCTTCCGCTGCACATTAAAATGGATACCTAACTTTGAATAGAGTTCACCAACTCTAAGACTTTAATATACTTTTCTGCTTGGAAAAGCACTATTAAATTAATATATATAAGACTTTTCTGCTTTATATTTTATATCATTTCCAAAAGGCAGCCACCAAAAAAGAAACTATAGTATATATTACATAGAATATGACTTGAAATCTTTTAATTAACTTTTCTGCTTGGAAAATTAAGCACTAATAAGTTAATATAAGACTTTTCTGCTTTATATTTTAATTTTTATATCATTTCCAAAAAAACAAAAAAAAAAAAAATCACTATATATGATACGACGTGAAATCTTTTAATAGAAGATCAATCATCTACAGAGACAAAGATGTCGAGCTCTCTCCCTGTGCCTTCTGTTCAGGAGCTGGCAAAGGAGCCACTCAGTACAGTTCCATCACGATATGTTCGTTCAGATCAAGACCCTACTTCCACATCCAACGCCACTTCCTTGCCACCACTGCCTGCAATCGACTTACAAAAGTTGCTTTCTGGAGACTTGATGGATTCAGAATTAGACAAGCTTCACCATGCATGCAAAGAATGGGGTTTCTTTCAGGTATCAGGAAAAAGATAAAACAAAAATTAGTTATCGTATATATTACATGTCAAATATCATGTATAAATTATCTTTTGAGATGGAAATGTTTTATTTTACAGTTGATAAACCATGGAGTGAGCAGTTCATTGGTAGAGAAGATGAAGATAGAAACTCAGGAATTTTTCAATCTGCCAATGGAGGAAAAGAAGAAGTATTGGCAAAAAGAAGGAGATGCAGAAGGATTTGGGCAGTTGTTTGTTGTGTCTAAGGAGCAGAAGCTTGATTGGTCAGACTTATTCTTGGTGAACACCATTCCAATTCGTTTGAGGAAGCCACACCTATTTCCCAAGCTCCCTCTCCCTTTCAGGTTATCTCTTTCTGTCAAATTTTTGCTTTGTCAAAATTTCTAGCTGTGCCCGCCATCATACCATTGTTTAAGTTAAATTATTAGAAATTCCATTGGCTTGGATACTATAACTTTTCTTGATTCAATCAACCATTTGAAATTAAACATGACGAGGTAAGGTATTGTCATTATCACAATTAGTCAACAATTTAACTCATATTTTTTACAGATAACACCTTTGGAGTATATACAGGTGCTGTCCAATTTTGTCTTAAACCTACGAGTGGAATATATATTAGCATGCACAACCTATTATTTAATGTTAAAGGTTAAGTTAAGAATAAAATAATATAATTTTTTTTAATTAAAATATCGTTAAAGGGACAAGAAATATTTTATTTACCTTTTTTAGAATTTTTTTTTTTTATTTCTAGCGGATAAAAGCAATTACGTAAAATATTTAATTAATAAAAGACTTATCATTTTAATCAAACAAAATATTATTTGTTTAATAAATAAATTAAAATAATAATAATAATAATAATGCTACACATGAAAAGTTCAGATGCCAAATGACTTGGCTATTCACGTGTGATTATAGAAAAGTTATTCACTTATCTCATTATTCTAACATTAAGGTGGTGTTGACACAACCAACCCTTAGGTGGTTGAATGGTTCTATAAGGATTCTAGAGTGTATTACTCAAAAGGTCTTGAGTTCGAGTCCTTACTCAATTGCTAATAAGAGTGGCCACTAGAGCTCTTACCCGGCCAGTAGTTCTAAGATCTCGGAGGATTAGTTGAGGTACGCGTAAGCTGGTCTGGACACCCTTGGTCAGTAAAAAAAATAAAAAAATGGTTGCTAATAGGAGTGGCTACTAGAGCTCTTACCCGACCGGTAGTTTTAAGGTCCTGATGGATTTTTTGAGGTGCGGATAAGCTGGCTTAGACACCCTCAGTCATTAAATAAATAAATAAAAAGGTGGGGTGTTGACACATAACCCACCATATCATTGAGGATACAAAATTATGATCTCAAATTTGTATGTTTAACATTATTAAACAATGGAAAATGAATTTTTTACTTTACAGATTTCTTAGTAACATTTTAATCCTTATAATTAACAAACTTTATGGATTAAAATGTTTAATTTTCTTTACTTCTCCAACAATCTTATGTCCGATGTTAAATTAGATCCCAATATGATGACCCGCGAGACAAAGTAAAATGAATTTTTAATGCAAATCATTAAAGCCACAGATTCAGTGCATTAGATACTTGTAGATGGTAAAATATATGGTTACGGAAGAAGGTTTAATCTTGTGAGGTTGAGGTCACTAACAATCCGCTGAATCTACACCTAAAAAGAACAAGCACAAAGCTTACGTAAAACATCAATGTGGTGTTTGCTATAGGC